GAAGTATTTGCGAGGATTTACCACCCCGGTACCTACATTTGTCCTTCATTCACCTGTCTCTTTGCAGAAGGCGGCCCCCCGGAGCAATGCAAGGCCTCCTCTGTGAACGCCACCATCATTTTTCTGATCGTTGCAGTGTTTGTGGCCTCATTGCTCAGCATCATTGGTGTTCTGGCTTGGAAGTGTAAAAGGGTACGTGTGAGGATGTCTCCCATGATCATGTGTGACACGAGAAGTGGACATGCTTTGGATTAAGGGTTTATTTGTGCTCCTGCAGTTCAAAAAGACCTTCACACCTGCCAGACCTTCCAGACCCAACAGGCCTCAGTATGTTTGTCTGCATCGTCAGCCGACCCCTCAGCTTTCACCTTTCCTGATCACATCTCCATAAACGAATGCCGTCAGGGACATTCAGCTCTGTTCAGAACAGGGACAAGGCTGATGGTACGATCTCAGGCCTCCTTGAAAAGCATCAGAGTGAAAGGACTTTTGTTGTCAACGTTTCTATCAAGTTGTTGTCTTCTAAAAGGAGTCTGAGCCACCACATCCTGGCTCACACAAGCAATGAAGGTGTGAGTGTGTGTGTGTGTGTGTGTGTGTGTGTGTGTGTGTGTGTGTGTGTGTGTGTGTGTGTGTGTGTGTGTGTCTGCTTTTCCAATTGTTAGCTTGCAGAATATATTGGCTTGACTTGCTGTGGTTAAAATGAATATACTTCCTTTTCCTGCATTTTATCATTCATGCATTCTGTCTGTATTTGAAAAATCATTATTTCACCCAAAGAGTCTTTAAATGTTTATTAAATTTAGAGGAAAGTATTGGCTGTTTACTTTCTGTTACAGTTGTTATGACACGTTGGTGGGGAGAAAATGGGTCATGATGATTTATAGGTTATAAATTGTAAGTCGCTTTGGATAAAAGCGTCTCCTAAATGAATAAACATAAACATGATTTTGTTGTTAATCTTAATTTTGTGAAAGTAATATTTTAAAGGCAGACACATAATCTGTCTGCTTGAATCTAACCGGTGTCCTGAAACAGTCTTTGTTCAACTCAGTCCTGTTTAGTGACACAGCTGAATTCATTTGTCAATTGGTACAAACATTACTTCTTTGTTTTCATTTACCATTGGAGCTATGGTGGGGGGGTTATCATTACACAACTTATCTGGTTTCTTACTGAAAGGTGATACGAGTAACCAGATGTACAATGATGAATTTAATTCCACTCTGCCTGGTGGGGTCTGGGTCCCTGGTCTCTGCTGGGTCCCCGGCGGGGGTGGTCACCCCTGGGTCCCGGGTCGCTGGGTCCCGGGCTCGGTTGGCTAGGGGGTGGGAGGATGCGGGCGGGCCTGTGGGTTTGCCGCCGATATCTCCCGGGACTCTGCCGGCTGCTGGTTGTGGCCCCCCAGGGCGATCCTCTGCGCCTCGAGGGGGGCGGGGGCTTTTCTGGTCGCAGTCTCCCTGGAGTTCCTGTGCTCTGGGGCAACTCCTGGATCCCTGGGACTTGGAGCTCCCTCTGTCTCCTTCACATCTTTGGGGGTGGATCTGTAGCCCCTCACACTCTCTATTGGACGCTCCTATAGAGAAACCTTACATATACAAGCGCGTGTACACACACAGGTGCTCACATGGTGCTCTCATAAGTATGGGCTTGGGCACGTTCAACACATGTCTTAAGGCTGTTGTTGGCACTAAATGCACTATGATTTATTATCGTGATTGTTCAGTTAAACAATGTTGATTTTATATTTCTTCATCAGGTTGATGCAGTGATAGCATGATCTTCTATTGTTGTTTGTCCCTTTTTTTCTCTCTTTCTGCAGGTCTAGAAGCAGACTCTTGTTCATTATTGTTTATTTGTGTGCCCCCCCCCCCCCCCTCTTGTCTTTTCCTTTCTCTTTCACCCCGTCTCCGTGTCTGGTCGGAATTAAATAGCATTTAAAAACAATAACAATGAAGTTTTAAGAATCAGGCATGACGTTAAAAGCAGACGCTTTGATGCTCCACCTGAGGGTAAATCTGTAAGGCTTGTTACCAGCATTCAGACATCAATTCTGTTTGCTTCACAGCCAGACAGGACATGGGGAAAAAAAACAATAAAAAATAATTTAATTCTACTTACTCTTGGAAGCCAGAATCTCCAAGTTCTGTTGGAATACCCTCAAATGTTGGAATTCCGACTCTGATAAATGGGCGATTTTTCAATATGCATACTAGTTTGAACTTGTGTACTCACGTCCCGGTGAAACGTCCTCAGCGATACCCCAACGACTGTTCCAATCCTAAAATGCATCATAGTAAGTTCGCTCAAAGTTCCCAGATACGTTCTTGCTCCCCCCATTGAATTGAGGACGCATCAAAGCGGAGAATTCTGCTGTAGTGTCCTTGGGTCTGTCAGTGCGCCCCAGAGCAACTCTGGCTACATCGTAGCTCATCCCCACCAGCGTGTGAACGTATGGGTGAATGACTGATTTTGTTGTGAAGTGCCTTGAGGGGTATTAAAACCCTAAGATGGCCATTTAGCATTTCCTTTGGAAATCAAGGTCCCGGAGTCTGGAGGAAGAGAGGAGAGGAACCTAATCCATGTTGCTTGAGGTCCAGTGTAAAGTTTCCAGTCAGTGATGGTTTGAGGTGCCATGTCATTGGCTGGAGTTGGTCCATTGTGTTTTCTGCGGTCAAAGGTCACTGCAGCCATCTACCAGGAAGTTTGCTGCTGACCAACTTTACGGAGAAGCAGGTTTCGTTTTCCAACAGGACTTGGCACCTGCACACAGTGCCAAAGCTACCAGTACCTGGTTTAAGAACCATGGTATCACGGTTCTTGTTTGGCCAGCAAACTGGCCTGACCTTAACGCCATGGAAAATCTATGGTATTGTGAAAAAGAAGATGCAACACACCAGACCCAACACTTCATCAGAGCTATCAGAGCAACATGGGCTCTATAATACCAGAGCAGTGCCACAGACTGATGGACTCCATGCCGCATTGCTGAAGTAATCCAGGCCAACGGAGCTACACCTAAATATTGATGGCTGCACATGCTCACACTTTTTATGTTCATACCTTCAATTGGTTAAAATTTCTAAAATTCTTTTTTTTTCTTGCATTGGTCTTATTTGATATTCTAATATTCTGATACAGTGGGGCAAAAAAGTATTTAGTCAGCCACTGATTGTGCAAGTTCTCCCACTTAAAATGATGACAGAGGTCAGTAATTCTCATCATAGGTACACTTCAACTGTGAGAGACAGAATGTGGAAAAAAAATCCATGAATTCACATGGCAGGATTTTTAAAGAATTTATTTGTAAATCAGGGTGGAAAATAGGTATTTGGTCACTTCAAACAAGGAAAATCTCTGGCTCTCACAGACCTGTAACGTCTTCTTTAAGAAGCTTTTCTGTCCTCCACTCGTTACCTGTATTAATGGCACCTGTTTGAACTCATTATCTGTATAAAAGACACCTGTCCACAGCCTCAAACAGTCAGACTCCATACTCCACTATGGCCAAGACCAAAAAGCTTTCGAAGGACACCAGGAAAAGAATTGTAGACCTGCACCAGACTGGTAAGAGTGAATCTACAATAGGCAAGCAGCTTGGTGTGAAAAAATCAACTGTGGGAGCAATTATCAGAAAATGGAAGACATACAAGACCACTGATAATCTCCCTCGATCTGGGGCTCCACGCAAGATCTCATCTCGTGGGGTCAAAATGATCATGAGAACGGTGAGCAAGAATCCCAGAACCACATGGGGGGACCTGGTGAATGACCTGCAGAGAGCTGGGACCACAGTAACAAAGGTCACCATCAGTAACACATTACAACGACAGGGAATCAAATCCTGCAGTGCCAGACGTGTTCCGCTGCTGAAGTCAGTGCATGTCCAGGCCTGTCTGAAGTTTGCCAGAGAGCACATGGATGATACAGCAGAGGATTGGGAGAATGTCATGTGGTCAGATGACACCAAAGTAGAACTTTTTGGTATAAACTCAACTCGTCGTGTTTGGAGGAAGAAGAATACAGAGTTGCATCCCAAGAACACCATACCAACTGTGAAGCATGGGGGTGGGAACATCATGCTTTGGGGCTGCTTTTCTGCTAAGGGGACAGGACGACTGATCAGTGTTAAGGACAGAATGAATGGAGCCATGTATCGTGAGATTCTGAGCCAAAATCTCCTTCCATCAGTGAGAGCTTTGAAGATGAAACGTGGCTGGGTCTTCCAACACGACAATGATCCCAAACACACCGCCCGGGCAACAAAGGAGTGGCTCCGTAAGAAGCATTTGAAAGTCCTGGAGTGGCCTAGCCAGTCTCCAGACCTCAACCACATAGAAAATCTGTGGAGGGAGTTGAAAGTCCGTGTTGCTCGGCGACAGCCCCAAAACATCACTGCTCTCGAGAAGATCTGCATGGAGGAATGGGCCAAAATACCAGCTACTGTGTGTGCAAACCTGGTAAAGACCTATAGTAATCGTTTGACCTCTGTTATTGCCAACAAAGGTTATGTTACAAAGCATTGAGTTGAATTTTTGTTATTGACCAAATACTTATTTTCCACCCTGATTTACAAATAAATTCTTTAAAAATCCTGCCATGTGGATTCATGGATTATTTTTTCACATTCTGTCTCTCACAGTTGAAGTGTACCTATGATGAAAATTACTGACCTCTGTCATCATTTTAAGTGGGAGAACTTGCACAATCGGTGGCTGACTAAATACTTTTTTGCCCCACAATTGAATTTGGGATTTTCATTATTTGTCATCAAAACGAAAGAAATAAACATTAGAAATATATCAGTCTGTGTGTGATGAATTTATTTAATTTACAAGTTTCACTTTTTGAATGGAATTTCTGAAATAGATCAACTTTGTCCTGATATTCTGGTTTTATGACCAGCGCCTGTAGGAGTTTAGGAAAAGTCGAGCTGTGGAACAAGCGAGCTGACCTGTTTGTGTTTCCTCCGGACACTGCATGATGTAACACACAGTGCACCAGTGAAAACGGTTTGTTTATTTTTTCCACTAAGTTACTAAAGCCGTACAAATCTGTTTATTAACTCAGCAAAAGCGTTTGGAGGCCCAAACACGCAGCCGACTGCGAGAGGAAAGCCCGCTGCAGGAGAAACCTTCGCGGTGAAGATAAACAGTTTCCACCTTGGCTTTTGATCCCGTTCCCGAGGAGCCAGCTCAAAGATCACGGCGACAGAATCTCCCTGTGAGCTGCTAACGAAAACAACCCATAAATGTCTGACAGCTGGTCTCCACAAGCAAGGGAACAATGAGTTGTAAACTGCTGCTGTCCGCCGTGGGGAGACGCAGACTTCACAAAGGTGAGTTCTCTTCAGCCATCTGAGCCGACCTTGATACAAAATGTGTTCGGTTTTACAACAGTCCGAGGTCTGGGTTGGCAAAATTAGACTTATGTTGTAAGAGATGCTAATTTTTCATTAAACTCACGCTACTCTTTAATTCGGCTCGTATAAACAGCACATATAAAAGATTCAGCCAAGCTAAAGGGGTCTTTTCCCACTTGTGAGCACTAGAACCATGTGTCTAAATAACGAGATTACTACAGTTTAAGTGTCCTTTATTAGATCAGCTCCTGGTTCTGATCTTTGCTTCATACACTCTTTTTTTAGGTTTTGCTGTGTGTGGGAAGGCCTTTTTGTCTTCTGGTAGTCCAAAGGTGTGTATTGTTGGAAGTGGTCCTGCAGGTTTCTACACAGCGCAGCATCTCCTCAAGGTGTGTACCTGCTGTGTTTATAGGAGGGATTAGGTGTAGGAGGTAGATGTAATCTCCTCTGCTATTGTGAGTCGTATACCCTTCTTTTTATGTGTTAAAGTTGATGTAGACACCATGGAATAATAATCCACCGTAAACGAATCGGTCAGTGATATCTGTGTGTTAAACAGGAGAAGCTCAGGAACTTTTCCAAACACCAAAACGAGACGGACAAGAGTTTTTACATTAACATCTGTGAGCAAGGGCTTCTGTTTACCTTTATTGTCCCAAGTAGAAAAAAGGTTGAAGGGGATTTCAGGTTCAAGATGAGCCAGGAAGTGCTTTTGCTGCAGAAACTAACAATAAACAAAAGACTGAAATAAAAGATTCTGGAGAAACGTTGAAGGATGTCATTAAAGCTGCAGCTCAGTGGAAGGCTTAGAGAGGATTCTCTAATCAGGAGCTTTCTCACACTCACACATGTCACCTTCAGCTGTCAGACAGGTGTCCACCTTCTGTTTTGAAATCACGTCTATTCCGAATGGCCACAGCGTGTGTTGCCTTGTTATTGTCTGCTGTGATAAAACTAGAAGCTTTTTCTCTAATTTTGATTTTCATGACAAAGGGCTCAACAGCAGTGAGAGAAAGAAAACTAAAGTGTTTTATGTTTTGGTGTATACATCTTTCTGTGCTAAAAGGCTGTTGTAGAGAGAAGAGTTTCGGTTTAAAACATTTTTTGCAAAAAATTTTCTCCAAATTCTCCAACTTTAACCGTGATTCGGTAAAAACCATCAAAGATATTAAACACCAGTTAAGTCATGCAAACGTCCCGTGACCAGTTGAATCTCTGAATGATGGAAGTCTGTCTGAGCTATTGAGCTCCAAAAGTGGGCGGGGCTCCATCATCTGTTCCACCAAAATCCCTGTTTGTCACAGGGTGTTTTAGGTACGCTTCCTTGTAAGTTTTACCGTGACAGCTTAACTTAAATACCATCAGATCAAAGTGCTGTACACCAAATCGAAAATAAAACAGTCACATGATCCACAAATTAACCAAAAGTTAAGTCAGTCCAACACTAAATAAAAACAGCCCAATACTAGAGCTAGTTGCTTACAATCAAGCAAAATAAAACAAGTTGTCGATAAAATCAAAATTGTAAAAATAAATAATGCAAAGTTGCAATTCAGTATCTCGGATGTCAAAAGCCTGGGAGAAGAGGGTTGGGTTTTAGGGACAGCTTTATGACCTGACAGGAGAGAGGCCTGGTGTCCAAGGGAATGTCATCCGACAAAGCTCGGTTCCCTCTTAGCCTGTGCTGACGGGCCTTTTCCACAATACCTACTCCGTGCAGCTCAGCATGCTTAAAATCTGATAAAATAAATAACTTTAAAATGGATCCTGAAATGTACCAGCAGCCAGCGCAAGGAGACTTGTGCCTTAGTTAAAAGACATTCAGCTGAGTTTTGTATCCTGACTCACTGTTTCCAACGCGAAGTGCATTGCAGTAATCCAGCTGCATGGATCTACAGCCTGGATCACTGTTTCAAAGGGCTGCTGCAAAAGAACTGGCGTTATTTTAGTCAGGGTCCTCTCATGCAAATGCTTATGCACTGGCAGCCTTAAAGGGCTCCTTCACTGAGACACGTGTTTGTTCTGTTTGAAATACAATCTGAGTATCATACACAGGCTTAATGTGAAAATAGTTTTCAACCCTTTTTTCTGCATTAGCTGCAGAAAGGAGAACAGCTGGGTCAGGAGAAGCCACACAGAGCTATGTCACAGGGACGGTTTGCATTCATGGACTCACCCACCCTGGCTTATGACCTTAGTAGTCTGTTGTTATTTTAGCATCCAGGAGAGAGCAGAGGACGTCTCAACTAGTAGAAGCTAACTGCAGCATTAGCAACTCCACCACACAGCAGAACTCCTTCAGATGTGTGTTATTTGTGAAGATGAAATGTCAACGTTGCAGAGCAGACAGAGTCAGTGGAAGAGTCTCATTGCTCTTAGCCAATCAGAGACAAGATGTTGGCATAGCTCTTGAATATTAATGAAAAAGACTCCAAATCCTGAAATTTTCTCCCCCACCTCCTCCAACTATCTTCTTCCTCTTAAAACAGGAGCATAGAAAACTCCTCACTAGGCATTTGTTCATGCTAGAGACCTCAGCAACTTCATTTAAAAAAATGAGTGAACGACACCTTTTAATAAAATAAAATAAATACCCTGAGCTCGGTGTATAAAAGGCCATGACATCCTCATTTTCATTTGTCAGCTCTTTCCACAGTCTAATCTGGACGTTGCTCTTCAGGCTCATCACACACATCACCCACTCATAGCCTGTAGACATACCAGGCATCACCACAGAGCTGAAAATCCACCCTACTTGCACACGGTTATGTAGTAACAGACAAGTAGTTATGCCGTAACTTATTAGGAAAATAAGAACATTGATAATGATTTAGAACAATTTTAAACAGATTCAGAATATCTAGTGTCGGGCATGACAATACGTCCAGATGTCACCTTTTAAGACTTTCGAATCTACACAAGAAGTTAATATTCTTCAGACAGTTACAAGTCCTTTCAGGCTTTAACTAAACCAAGGTTATAGTTTACAGTTTGTTAAATGAAAACTTGTTAAAGGAACAAGAAGTCTTGGATAAACTTTACTCTGAACAGCGTGTTCAACGGGTTCATTCTTAGTGTCTTCGTAACTCTGGTCACACCTTAAAGAGCAAGTCACCCCCAAACCAACTTTTTTTGCTGATAAACTAAATAAACGAGTGTCTAATCGTGCTGCAGACACGTGTAGTCTATAATTTGGCACTTCAGTGCATCTTCGTTAAAATTTAAATATTCTGCCTAAAACTGTCAGTGTTGTGCCCTTGTCAGGTAAAAACTCTGCACTGTATTAGAATTTAAATCTGCCACCGCTATTGGCTAAGAGGTATGCTATGATGTAAACTGGTACATTATGATGTCACAATGCTGGGAGTGGAGTGGAGTTAGACTCTGGTAGGGGGTGACTTGCTCTTTAAGAAACGTTTCCTCTGCTATTCGTTGACTCGATGCCCACATAAGGTACAATCTGAGAGAGCAGAACAGGAAGTAACACGTGACTCGTTTAGCAACTTTTGTTTTCCAGTTCCACCTAAAACACCCAAAGAGTCCGTCTAACGAGTTTTGTTCATAGAAACGAAAAGCTTCAGTTCTTTTAAATAAAATGATTAACTTTTTTTTTTTCGGAACTGCGCTGCTCTGGGTGGCTGCATGTTGGAGCAGCTCTGTTGACTATATGTAAGTTTTGCCATTTCTTGAGCATTTTTTCTTCTAGTTTCTCAAGTAAAACTATTTTTGGACACTTTACTTTTCTGTTTCTGGTGCTGTGAAGCTTGGAGGATTTTTACTGCAATTTTTTAGCTTTTTTCACTTTTTGAGCATTTGCTATGATGCGTAACCATGGTAACAAGCTGGTTTACAATCGGGAGCAGCTGATTAACATTGGAAAGGCTGAAATAATACTTCAACTGAAGCCACAGATCCCAAATGAGCTACAACCAAGCCCCCGCAATGCGGGTTAAAAACTGAGTCCAACACGGAAGTGACAAAAATTGCATTTCCACCCTCATCCACTGGGGGCTGGTGTCAGAAGCGAGCAAATCCTCATGTTAAAAATACCAATTTCACAGCAGAAATAAAAATGTTTACAGCCTGGTACCAAAACATGTTTTTGGTTTAAATGATCTAGTTTACACTCATGACAACTCTGAGGGGGGTGAATGTTTTTCTCACTCTTCTGTTTAAGTGTATTAAAAGCCTAAAATTCTGTATAATTAATGAGTATCAGACCCTCGTGAGCGCAGAGCTAGCTCCGTGGAAAGGCCTCAGTAGAGCCTCGGTCTGGCCTGGAAACTGTTCCGGGATTTTGAGTTTCTGTGTTTGTGTATTCTGTTTTGGATATTATTTGTGCAATTGTTGGACAAAATGACTTGCTGTGGCATTAATTGCACTAACAGAGCGTCCAAGGAGTCTCCACTTCATTTTTTTCGGTAAGTAAAATTATATTTATGTATTTTAGGTCACTGCCGAGCTGAGCTTAGATTTTAACATGTACTGTTTAACCATGAAATTTAAATGTAATAGGGTAAATCCCAGTGCATTTAACACAATGCTGCACTTTAGAAAATGGGTTGAAATATAACATGTTGGTGGAGCTGGGTTCCCACTATCGGCTTGTGGAGCTCTCGGGAGACCGATGTTTTCCACCTGTTCTCCCCTCCCCGCAGCTCGGCGTATCTCTGTCTGATCGTGGCTTCTGTGTGCTGCGCGGGCTGCCGGCTTGTGGAGCTCTGGGATGGAAACCTTTCCACCCGGTTCTCCCCAGCGGCAGCTCTGCGCATCTCAGATCGCAGCGGCGCTTGTCTGCTGTGCGGCTGCCAGCTTGTGGAGCTCTCAGAGACTCTGTGTTCCACCCGGTTTTACGCAGCGGTCATCTCTGACTCAGAAGCTCTGGTGTTGTGCACAGTTAACTCCGGTTGTAGCTAGGTTGCTACCTCCATTAGCTTAGCTCCCACCTCCGCGTTAGCTTTGGGTTAGCTTCAGGTTAGCTTGTAGCTAGTTCGACCGGGTGTCGTCAGTTGATCCCAGCCTTACAGCCCCACCCTCAGCTCCACCTATCTTCCCTTTTGTGGAATTGTCTGGGCATGACGGAACCTGTGACACGGTCAAAATGGCGGTGGTGGCCACCTCCCATTTAGCCTCAAAAACGCTTTATTGGAGCCTATGGAAACCCATTGTCCAATATTTTTATGTCGATGCTTCAAACCTGTTTTGAGGAGTATCAAATACGACTGTAACATCCGTTTTGCATCACATTTCTGTGGTCTGCGAGGTGTTGAACAGTTCTGACACCGCTGGTTTAGAGAGGTAGACTGACCAGACCTCAGTCTGACACAACGACCACATGAACTCCACTAGCCAGGTTAGTATGGCATTCTGGGGTTTGGGAGGGCACACAAACATCAGTAGCTCCAGTAGCTCCTAGCTAGCTGTAACGACGGTGGTGATGGAGTAAAGTGCCTGTCTCATAACCGGAGAGTTGCAGAATTTAGTCCCACTTCGCCTGTCACAGTCGTGTCCTAGGGAAAGACACTTAACCCGCCTTTCCTGCTGGTGGTGGTCAGAGGTGGCGCCTGTGTTGGCTAGTCTTGCTTTCGTCAGTGCTCCCCAGAGCAGCTGTGGCTACCTGTAGCTCATTACCATGTGAATGTGTTTGTGTGTGTGTGGGTGATGACTGGATGGTTTGTAATGTGCCTTGGGGGGTTGTAAAAATCTAGATGGTGCTATACAAATACAAGCCCTCTACCATAAAGAAGTGAGGACTTCTATGAACGATCGACAAGCTGAAATTTGAGGAGATGACTAGATTCATCAGGTCTGACTCATAAAAACACTGAAATAGTTTATAAACACCTCAGGGAGACACGTTAGAACCTGTTCTCTACTAGCTCGGGATTACAACTCAGAACCCTCTTCCTGTTTTTACTTCTGGTTGCCCCACCCCCAAACAATCTGACGAGTCAGCAGACAGAACGTTCTCACCTGGTGTGTAGTAAAACCAAATGTTTCAGTTGTAGTTTTTATGTGTGTGAAAAGGAACTAACATTAGAACAAACTCTGTTGAGTCGATTCAGGCCAGAGGAACCAAACTAGGGGTGTGGAAATCAGCTAAGAGCGTTTCTGACAGAAAGTGTGCTAGCGGTTTTTAGTATTCCACAACTAGTGAGCTGGTTTTAGAAGCTGCTTCTTCACTGCGCCGGTTTCTGCAGCAAAAGTGTTTTCTTTTGAGTTGAGAAATGTTGAGAAGTGATGGAGTTCTTGGTGTTTTAGTCAAGTCTTGTAACACAACAACTTTATGCTCGAGTTCCCTCAAAATCCCCAAATCTTTGTTAAACATTTAGCCCTCAGTCCGTGTTCTAGATCATCCGCAGCACCAAATTATTGCTCAGTATTTCTAAAACTGACTGAACCACGATGAACATTTTTGACAGCTGCGGTGGCCATCTTGAATTAGATCAGCTTTAGATGGGGGACAATAAAATTGACAAATAATCAGCTTGGGAATATCTGCTTTAATCTAACTTTTGCTTTTGTGTCCATTAGGCTCACCAAAATGTCCAAGTAGACGTTTATGAGCGGCTGCCTGTCCCATTTGGACTGGTCCGGTTTGGAGTGGCCCCCGATCATCCTGAAGTCAAGGTGAGTCCTTCCTCTCAGATTTATTAGACCGCTAAACGATTCCCACAAATATTTCAACTGTGTTTTTCTGTCTGTTTGGCCTGTTTCACACAGCAAAATAATTCTGCTGATTTTTGACCTGATGCTCCCCTTCTGACCATCTTTAGGCTCCCCAATTCTCGCAATGACTATAAAGATTATTTTATCAGATATTCCTGCTGTGTGTGGTGTGTTATGAGTGCTTGGAAGGATATCAGAACTCATCAGATGATAAATCAGGCACATTTTACATGTTGGATTGTCTCGGGCCGATATGGGGAGCCTAAGTCATGCCCATTGACTTCCGGACCATGCTTACACGGAAGAACGCTAAAATGAATGTAAGTCAAAGGGGCTGAAAACGCTATTTTCAAATTCTGCTGGTTTTGGTCAATGGATATTCACAATGGATATTCACAATGGATATTCAAATATGATGTCCCTGAATTTTAAAGACAAAATTTTGGGAAACGTTATTTTACGTTTTGTGTGAAAATAAGTCCAGAACTACAAATGCGCATCACCAAATTGACGTCATCGAACACGGACACAGAACGAAGCAGAGGTAAAACGGTTGTAAGTTCAGCAAAGTTCAAGACCAGACAGGAAAGAACCACCATATACCTGGTCATGTGGTTAGTAGCAGCTACGCTAGGGGAGAGGAGATTCTGTGGTTACGTCATACGCAACGTTCCAATGTCCGATTTGTAGTCAGGCAAAGAAAATAGCTCTTTTAGCTCTGTTGACTTGCATTAATTTTTTCGTTCTTTCGGGGACCCATGAGCCGACCTGAAAGGGAGGAGACTTCGGCTCCCTGTAGAGGACAGACTAGTGTGCTGCCTGTTGACTGTGACGTGAACCAATCAGAAAGTGAGGTGATGGATACCTGCTCCTCTTCCACCATGTTCGTTTACCCCAAAGTCCCATTTGATCACCAGAGGTTTTGCGAAATTTCCCGTGTAACCTGGTTCATGTGTAGTTTTTCCTGTGTTGCTGAAGAACACACACAGTAGAACCAAACCTGGCATACTCGGGATTTTATCTACTAAAGATTTTATCACTAGTGTGTTGTCTGTCAAGCTTTTAAAATTGTCTGACAATTTAAAAACCCTGCCGTGTGAACTTGGCTTAACCTTTCTCTAGTAAAACAGGACGTTTGTAGTACTTGCTTCCTTTTTATGTACTAGTTGTAATACACCTAACTCAGTCCTGTTTACTTAAGTGATTTCTCAGTTTTCACTCGGACTGAATGAAGGCCAAAGAACAGCCCGTCAGTCATGAAAACAGGAAGTAAACGTGAGAAGGAAGTGTTTTATGTAAATAAGCTCTAAATGCAGGGGAGTATTTGCTGATGTCATTTTAACAAATACTTTGTAGTATTTTTTTTTAATAGTAGTTAGGGTTGTCACGGTGTGAAAATTTCACCTCACCAAAATTATCACGGTTTTCGGTATTATCGCAGTAAACGTGTTACATTTTCAGACAATTAAATAAACCCTGTATATCAGGTCCTCAGTTTGTGTCTAAATTTTGCCTAAAATGTGTTATTTTGTAATTATGTTGTTTATTTGTTTACATTTTCTTATTTATTTCTTTTTTGTTTACATAATCATTGTTAAATTCATAATTATTCTCGGAGAGAGACCAACTCTTATCTGCCCCTGGGAGCCCCGTAATGCATAGCTTCATTTCAACATGGCGGTGTCCGCGACACGGTTTATATGCAGGTAGCGGCGCTGCGGCTGCTTTATATAGCAACTCGTTGCATTCTCCCTCAACCCAAATCCTCAGATCACGCATTTGAGCTAAAACGCTAACGTTAGCTTGCCTTGCGTTGACTGTAGAGTTGTGGGTGATGGTCACGCAGATGTGTCATGAGATTTGAAGCGTTGCTGCCTTTCACAGACACTTTTTCTGCACGTGCTGCAAACAGGACAGCCGTCTTCTATCAGCTGTCCCTCGGCATTCTTCAAATATCCAAAAAATGCCCGTACTTCCCACTTTGTCTTCTTTGAGGGATAATAAATGTCCTGCGCGCTGCCGTCTCCTCCTTTGGTCATTATTTCAGCTTTAGCTTCAAGAAAGTTTTGGTTGTAAACAACAAAGTTGCGCATGTGCCGCCGGCAACTTCAGCAGATGATACGGTGGCTGGTAAGGGTCACCGTGCCTACACCGCAGCCACGGTAATCCACTGAGATAATAACATTTTTAATAAACAAGACAGTTATTATTGTCCACTTTTTTACCGGGGTTTACCGCTACACCGGTTACCGTGACAACCCTAGTAGTAGTTTTATTTTTAAAGTAAATGTCACACTTGAAATAGACAAAAATACATTTAGACAACAAAACAAGAAGGATTAAGGCAACAACCCAGCAAAGCAGAAAGGAAGCAGCAGTGAGTGAATTCTGTTTCTCTGACTTTATACAAGCCGGTCGGTTTCCTGCGTTTGTCCTCTGAGCTGCTTTTAGTAGGAACTATGATCTTAGAGGATACGATTTTATTCTCCTCTAAAGTCAAACAAGATGTTTGAGATCATTCTTTGTATTGTCCATCTGGTCTGCAGCTCATTAAAAAGCAGGTGTACTGGAAACTATCTCATGAAAATCGGAAAACACTTTTGATTTGTTGGTCAACAGAATCTTAAAAGATTAACCTAATGAAACTGATTTGGACTAAAATAACTTTCCTCATCCTTTTGAGATAATGTCCAAATATGTCCAGAGGTCTTCTGGCCTACTATCATGAGCAAATCACTCCAGTTGTCTCAGGTCCAGAGGGTTGCTTCCCCAGATGTTCACCAGGGCAGGATCTGTATCAGGACTCACAGATGATCACTTCAGGGTCTGGTTCTGACCCATTTTTGGTATTTTTAGCTACATAATCCGGTTGGAGGACCTGAGACAGATACCAAGCTCTCTGACACTTGGCAGGACTTCTAGCTCCAGAGCACCTTGATAGTCTTCAGATTTCATTGAACTCTGAACAGATTCAAGACTTGTTGGTCCTAATGGAACAAAGTATGTTCAGAACATAACCGTCATCAGGTTTCCTATTACATCTACATCCAGGAGGTAGCCAACAGACCCGTGGACTAGGACATGGTCTTCTAGTCTTTAGCTTTAGAGTGCTAGTTAATATCAGTCTTTATTTTCTCATAAGACAACTGTGCCCTCACATTTCTCTAGTCCCTGTTCAGTGTGGTACACACCCAGAGCCCAGACAGCACTGTGACTACCATTGCCTTTGACCGGGCAGACTGACGGACCGCCCGACTGAAGACACCTGTGATGATGTTTTTAAATTATTCTGTGTAACAGTATTTCAAAGGTAACGTCTAACTTTAAATAGTTGATTTTCAGTAAAGTTTTGATTTCTTTCCGATGACTTTTGTTAGTTTCAGTCTCCCATTACTGCAGCGACCATTGTAGGTTTTTCTTTCCTCAGCAGAAGGTGTACAGCTATTTTATCCACAGTCATGCTGTTAGGAAGCCCATAGCAACACAAACAGGTCTCTGGGTTTGGAGTTTAGACCCAGTTGTCTACATGGTAAAACTGTCAGACTAAGTAAACCTGGGGTGTACAGCTTCTTTAAACAACGTAGTTTCACTTTTGAGAAGCCAAAAGGATGACTCACTTGATGAAGTCCTGTCAGTCAATAACGGATAACGACTCTGTTTAGTTGAAAGCTTCTGAAAGACTGTGGGTATTTAGGATCGACATACTCTGCTCTAGCCTTGATGAAACTTTAGCTGTGTTCGTTTGACTTCTTTTATGCGATGTTGGCCATATAAATCATTTAAAACCACATGTAAATCAGCATTTTACTACAGTCTCCTCTTCTAGATGTTAGTTCTTCTGGTTCTTTAGCCCTCCTACGGTCCTATTGGCTGACCCCGCCAGGAAAGTTGACCATTGAGCAGGGTTGATGGTTTATCCCTTGAGGTCCACGCGGCGGGGTGAGGTGGTGCTCACTCCTCACCCCTGCCATGGTCAACTTTCCTGGTGAGGTCACCCAGTAGGAGGGTTAAATCACAGATTCTTTCTGATCTTTGACTAATCTTTGCTAAGACTTCAGACGCCTCCCTTTAGACCAAGAATAAGTGTTGTTTTTACATCATATGAAGGGTTTTCCTACAATTTAGTTTGTTTTCTTCTCAGAACGTCATCAATACCTTCACACAAACAGCTAAACATCCACGCTGTAGTTTCTATGGTAATGTAAACGTTGGGGAGGATGTGAGTGTCGACGAGCTGCAGGAGGCCTACCACGCCATTGTACTGGTGAGAATATGGGACACGCCTCCTTGTGCATCGTAACCCTGATGTGAGGAGTTATATTCAGGCAAAATGTGGTATTTGTGTGGCTGTTTTGCATATTTTGTGGCAGAGCTATGGTGCTGAGGGAAACAGAAGCGTGGGGGTTCCAGGAGAAGACCTACCTGGTGTGTATTCAGCCAAAGACTTCGTGGGCTGGTACAACGGCTTACCCAGCTGTCAGGAGGTTTGCATGATAAACGTCTACCAAAGAAAAGTCATCCCTTTTCTTTGCACTCTTAGTTTATTTAATATAATTGTCCTGCTTTTCTGTTGAACTCAGCTGCGTCCTGACCTGAGCTGTGAAACGGCTGTGATCCTGGGACAAGGCAACGTGGCCTTGGATGTGGCACGGATACTGCTGTCTCCTCTGGATGCGCTAAAGGTGAGAGACACGCAGACCTAAAACTTCAGTTTTGTGTGTCAGCCGTGTTTTAGGTAGGGGTTACGACTGGTTGAAAAGATCCATTTTGTAGAGAAAAGTCAGATCTTTGCACAAGCGTGACTCAAATGATGTAGTTTCAACATACGCGGCCATTCTAGCAGAAATATAGAAAACCTTCTGTTAGTGGCCAACAAGTTAGTTGGGAGAATTTTTTCTGAAGCCCTTAAAACATTTATAATTCTAAATATGTTTGTTAGTTTCTGAATTTGGGATTTTAATGCAGTTATACTAAAACATTTACATCTCACCAACACCAGTCGCTACAGGGGGTTTTCTTTCCACTGCTCCATGTCATTGTGTAGATACCGGACCGGTATTAATAACGTCTCATAACCGTGGCTTATCAAGTTTTCTAGAGTAAAACTACTTTCCTTTCTCAGAATCTGTACTGAAAAGTGTTGTTTTTCTGCAGAAAACAGACATTACCCAGCCAGCTCTTGAAGCTCTGGCACAGAGTCGGGTCTGCAGGGTGCTGATCGTGGGGAGGAGGGGTCCCATGCAGGTTGCAAGCACAATAAAGGTGTGCGACAAACACGACCTTTATCATTAATATATAAACACCACATTACTAATCTATATACTTTGTTACTTAACTAAAGATATTATTGTATTGTTTCTTCCTGTATACATTTGTAGTTCCATATACCGTATAGGAGACACACACAGTGATATTTGAGAAGTGAAACTACGTTTATAGGATTTACAGAAAGTGTGCAATAATTGTTTAAATTAAATTTGTTCAGATGCATGAATATGGACACCACAAAAAAAGACGTGAAGAAATGAACTCAGTATTTGGTAGATCCTCCTTCTGCAGAAATAACAGCCTGTAAAGCGCGTTCGGGCCTGGAGGGCCGGCATCCAGCACGCTTTGGTGGTTTCTCTGGTCCAACACACTAGATTCAGTGGTTGAATCATCTGTGCAGCAGCTCATCAGGCGCTGCAGAAACCTGTTAATCACCTGCTGATTGAAGTCAGGTGTGTTGAATCAGGGTTCAAACTAAAACGTGCTGGATACCGGCCCTCCAGGCCCGGAATTGAATGGTTCTGCTCTAAATGCTTCCTACAGCTACCAATGAGAGTCTGGATTCTGCTTGGAGGTATTCTGGACCATTCTGCCTTATAAAACATCTCTAGTTCATTCAGGCTTGATGGCTTCACGCCACAGATTCTCAATAATATTCAGATCTGGGGACTGAGATGAACATTCCAGAAGGTTCTACTTGTTCCTCTGCATGAATGCCTTAGTAGATGCTGAGCAGTGTTTAGGGTCGTTGTCTTGTTGAAAGACCAAGCCCTGGAGCAGCTTCAGCTTTGTCACTGATTCCTGGACATCGTTCTCCAGAATCTGCTGATACTGAGTGGAATCCATGCATCCCTCAACTTTAACAAGATTCCCAGTCCCTTCACTGGCCACACAGCCCACAGCATGATGGAACCACCACCATGTTTTACTGTAGGTAGCAGGTGTTTTTCTTGGAACGCTGTGTTCTTTTCTTCCATGCATAATTCCCTTGTTAAGCCCAAATAACTCAGTTTTAGTTCCACAGCACATTACTCCAGAATGGAGCTGGCTTGTCCAGATGTGCTTTAGCAAACCTCAAGCAGCTCTGTTTGAGCTGTGGGTGGAGAAAAGGCTTCCCCTGCATCACTCTCACATACAGCATCTCCTTGTGTAAAGTGCACCGAATAGTTGAAAGAAGCACGGTGGCTCCATCTGCAGTAAGATGATGTTGTAGGTCTTTGGTGCGGGTCTGTGGGTTGACTCTGACTCTTCTCACCATTCTTCTCTTCTGTTTATCTGAGATTTTTCTGGGTCTGCCACTTGGAGCCTTAACTTGAACGGTGCCTGTGGTCTTCCATTTCCTCATTATGTTCCTAACTTTGGAAACAGACAGCTGAAATCTCTGAGACAGCTTTCTGTATCCTTCCCCTAAACCATGATGGAGAACAATCTGTTTTCAGCTCATGTGAGAGTTGTTCTGAGACCCCATGTTGCTGCTCTTCAGAGACTAGTCAGAGGAGGGACACTTACAATTGGCCCCCTTAAATAATCTTTCTCATACTTGGATTCACCTGTGTATGGAGGTCAAGGGTCACTAAGCTAACCAAACCAATATTGAGTTCCAATAATTAGTTCTAAAGCTTTTGGATTCATTAAAATGAAAACAGTGTCCAAATGTATGCACCTGCCTAATTTAGTTTAAACAATTATTGAACGCTGGTCCCACAGATCATGAAGAATGCGTCAAAGATAGAACACCAATATCCCCGTAGGGTCAGGCACGTCCAGAACATGTGAGGAAGAGTAGCAGGAGACTGCACCAGTCCACATGTCTGGTTTCATTTCAGATAGTCTGTCCTTGGACCGAAGTGAACGAAGCACCACCTCGACACCGTGTCTCACACAGATCAAGGGTTCAGTTTAAGTCAATCTTAATTTAAGACAAATGATCAGCTTCAGCATGTAGAGGTAAACATTTCAGCTCTGGGAATAACTTCAGATCATTGTGTCTTATTTTGATTCAGTGGTTTTAATCTCCAGTCGGGTTGTTAGTGGGTCAGAACAGCTGCCTGCAGTCCCGTTTCCAAGTCAATGTTGGCTCTTTTAATCGCGCCACGCTTTAAGTTAATTAGCCAGGTGGTTCCAAGTCTGATGGTCTCTCAACATCCGCCCCAGATAGTTGCTTATCGCTTCTCTCAGCTCACAGAAAACCCTAACCCATTTCTATTATTTGTTTTTTTATAATTTACTGCTCATTGCTGTAATTTGTCAGTTCTTTCATCAAGTTACATGTAGCAGAGGTTGAGGAGTAAAACCATAACTAAACAAATATGTCCAGAATCACAAAAGGTGATGCGAATAATAATAGAGTAAACAATAGTCACATGTCCCGGTTTTGTGAATCAAAATGGATGGAGAAAATAAGCAATCAGGGAGCTTTTAAGTAGAAATCTTTAGGTTTTCAGAAGGAAGCCAAAGCAGCTAAAATAAACCCACACAAGAGCTGAGAGTCCCCAGGATACAACGGCCACGCTTCTTTATCTACAGGAGCTCAGAGAAATGGTGAACCTGCCAGGAACGAGGCCCGAGATGGTGGCGGCTGATTTTGATGGTGTTGCAGAAGCTCTTAAAGGTCAGACACAAATAAAAGTTTGTCATTCTTTCTGAACCAGAGATTTTCATTCAGCTTTATACACGTAAACATCTTTGGTGCCTACTTCTTAAGCTTGGTTTATGCTTGACACATTCACTTTCCGCGCGGTGATGCGGCTCGCGGATGGAACACGCTTCACAACTCGCAGCGTTTATGGATCATGCGGCTTGTCTCTGCGGTGAGCCAATATTCTCCCAAACTGTAGGGGGCAGCATGGAGCTCTACGGCATGCACCCAACACTACACCATAGTAGAAGTAAAAATTACTGTTGTTTACAACATGGCATTCCAGCATTTTTAACAGCGTCCTCGTCTTTTCCGACAGTGCGAGCTATTTCTCTCCAAGAATTATTAACAACATGTTGATCACGGTGATCTCTGAGAGCTGAATCATACAAATGTCTGTATTTACCAACCTCTGCCATACTAGTTCTTGCCGGTCCGCCATGTTTTTCCGCGTCCGTCCGCCCGCGTGGTTAGAAATTTTCTGAGGTGCGCGTTGCGGAAATTCTGGGCCGTGCGGAGACGCGGTGGAGGGGCGTGGTTGTTAAAATGACGCAAAATGACGCAACTTTTCCGTGCGGACCTCGCGGACGCGTCAAGCATAAACCAACCTTTACACAGTGGGAAGCCTTGTGGGTGCTTTCTGAGAAGAGTGTGACTTAAGCAGAAGCTTCAGAAACAATCACATGTGAGAGGAAGAACATATGCGGGAGGCGACGTGCTGTGCCAGAGCGTCGGTACTGACGCCCGCCGTAAAACGGACATTTAACTAAATTGTGACCTTTATCCTCTTGCAATTAAACCTTCCCCTCACCCCCATCCTAACCTTAACCAGCTTGCACATGCAAAGCTCTGATCGTTGACGTGCTCCAGACATCTGCATCCTGAGCACGGCCACAGTAACATCATCAAATCAGGTGTCGCCACCTCAAAAACGAATTTAACACACGATCATTCATGTCGGCTCATTTCCTTTTATGCTTTCTGTCTTTTATTCTTTTATTTGTGCCTGATGCGTTTCGCTGCTGTGGAGCGGGGCACATCACCTGTTTTGTCTTCCAGTGACGCATGTCACTCTGCTGTTTTAGCGGTCGGTAGATCTTTTAGAACTGCAGTTCAAAGGTAACTCATAAGGTGAATATATATGAAGCCAGGTAGCAGTTTCTCTTTAGGAGTGAGAGGAGATGCAGGAAGATAATAAACAGGCAGGACAGAAAAATAGTCAAATAAAAACAAGTTAGTTTTTGTACCTGGTGGTTGCAACAAACAGACACCATTGAAGGTAATCAGAAGTGAGGAACAGAAAATGAAATAATTATTTTAATGTTTAGAGCAGCAGGAACTCTGAGAGGCTGCAGGCGCATCAGTGAGTTTGCGGCCGCTGCGAGCGGGGTGGGGTGGGGTGGGGGGGCTGAAGCAGAGCAGTAAAGATGCAGAAACTACCGTTGTTAAAAGAGACGTGTTTAACATTGAAAATGTGATGGCAATTTTAATTGTCAAAGACTCCAGCTAACCGACCCCCCACCCCCCCGCGTGCCGCTTCAGGTGTATGACGTCATCAACGACTAGTCAAAGTCAACTCGATTTTCATGACTTGACTGTCGACTTTAAAAAAAATTAAGTCATGCAGCCCCTAGCCTGCAGATCAGTAGAGCTGTTGTTCTGAACGTATCTTCTGTTTGACCTTCAGGCCTGTTTTTTTCTCCTTGTTGAGACATTAGCTTGATTGATGCCACCAGATAGTGACGAGCTTCACCTTGGCCTTTGGTCACTGGTGTTTCTGAGAACCTTGTGGAGTCTTGCTGGTGATGTGGTGGAAGATGCTTGAAGATGATGGCTTTTTACATCCTTTTCTGTCAGAGCTGCTGAGCATAAGCTGCAGTAGTGTCAGATTTTAGATCACAGCAATCATAACAGACCCGAGCCTTATCAGAGAGATCTGAGTTCACAAAAACAACTGACAGAACTCGGCGATCTGACAGAGGCGAATCTGCCGAGCACTGGCGCCACCGGTCCCTCTGACCACCACCAGCAGGCAAGGGGGCTTAAGTATCTTGCCCAAGGACACAACGATAGCGACAGACTGAGCGAGACTCGAACCCGCAACTTTCCGATTACCGGGTGAGCACTTAACTCCTGTGCCAGGCGCTCAGATAGGGTGGGGGACGGGGGGGATCTGTCCCCCCCCAGATTCAGATCGACCCCGATACGTCCCCCCCCCCCCCCCCCCCATCTAAGGCCAGAAAGAAAACAAAGAAGGAGGTTAAGCGCTTGAAGCTCCTTTTTCCAATTACATTGAATGCAGCATGACGTAAACAAACACCAACTCCAGCGGCGCCAAAGTGGTTGCTGCTAGGATGCAGGATGAAGTGAAAAAGGAAAGCAACGATTACTGCGTATTTAAAAAAGACCAACAGTGTAAGTAGGCGGGACCGATCTGTCTGTTTATGTGTGTTGGTTCTAGTTTCAGTACGTTGTTGTCAGTGTTGGGACTTACTCGTTAAAAGCGCCAAAGCCTCATTGCTGACTTTAACAAGTCTCATCTACAAATATGATCCCTCATGAAGTTACTACTTTACATCAGAAGATAGTGGAGATGTGGAACCTTCAGGCTGAGCAAAGTTTGGGAGTTTTTAGAGTTTGAAAATCGCCTCCCGCCGAGAGGCTCCCAGTCGGGGAGAGGAGGAGATGCGTGCAACATGAAGAGCGCAAATATTAGATAAAACGTATAATTGCCGGCAGGTCTGGTCTTTGTTGACTGATCACTTTGTCTGGTCATGACTGACTCTGATTATGAAGCAGAATATTGACTCTGATGAAGAAATTCACTCATCCAGCCGGGAAGATGGACGCTGCTGCAGCATCAGACAGCTGGTGCTGCACGAGAGGTGTGTGGAGTTTACAAGCTCCACACGTTGGGTTTGATGTTGGTTTAACCTTCTCTGGGACGTGATGGATGTAGAAATGATGGTAAAACGCCGCCAACGTGGCAGACGTAGCGACAATGTAAAAAAAGCCGTAAAAAAGAGGCAGATGCCGATGCATTAGTATGGAGGTCAAGTGTGCCACATAATCATAAAAAAAGTAAAATATAAAATTTAAAAAGAGATTTATATGTTTATATATAAACAAAAACTTTCCTAATATAATGAAAATTTATAAATAACGTAAAAATACAAAGGAACATCTGTTGGTCAGGCTGAAAAGTTTGGGAACTACTGCTCTAAGTGATACGTGAATATTGTTTTATAAATATATTTTATGTGCAGTTTTTTAGGGCTTTTATGTTTTCTGTAAAGATCGGTATGCTGACAATCATTTAATGTTTTGCATAAAGCATGAGGTTTTTGTTAGTAATTGATTGGAAGAATAACAAATGACTGAATTAAATAGTGGAGCGCCTCTGTCAGTGCGCCCCAGGGCAGCTGTGGCTACATCGTAGCTCACCACCATCAGTGTGTGAATGTGTGTGTGAATGGATGAATGATACACTGTAGTGTAAAGCGCTTTGGAGTCCTTACTCTGAGAGATGCTATACAAGTGCGGATCATTTATCATTTATAGTGTTGATCAGGCAGAGCTTTGTTGCATAACGGCTTCAAACACGTGTATAAAAGTTAGTTTTTACGTAAACCGTTGGATGAAATTATACAAACTGACTGAGGTGTGTGTGTGTGTGTGTGTGTGTGTGTGTGTGTGTGTGTGTGTGTGTGTGTGTGTGTGTGTGTGTGTGTGTGTGTGTGTGTGTGTGTGTGTGTGTGTGTGTGTGTGTGTGTTTGGGGTAGGGTATATTGGAACTTTGTCCCCCCCAGTTTGAAAATCCTATCTGCGCCCCTGTCCTGTGCCACTGACTTATATCCAGTGCTGGTCCTTCGAGGCCTCTGTAGTTCACCCTGACATGCCGTCAATCATCTTTTGGTCCAGATCTTGTCTGATGGAGCTTGTTCTTCATCATCAATGCTTTGTGGGTTTGTGTTGTCTTCTTGCCTCTGGAGGATGGACCACAAGCTGCCAGTGGGATTAAAGTCTTGGGAGTTTCCTGGACCTGGACCCAACATGTTGATGTTTTGTTCCTGACCCACTTAGTTCTGACTTTATCCTTAAGGCCTGGTGCTCCATCATGCTGGAGAAAAACTGATGTTGGATGGTTGGAGGAGTTCCTCTGCAAAGATCTTTATGTACCTTTATTTATGGATGTTCTGAGGTCTCCTGGCTGAGAGGCTGATCCCAACAGCTGAATCACATGTGTCATGATGCTGCTGGACTTTCTATGCATCTTGAATCCTTCACAAATGTTTTGGAAATGGGATTTTGGCTCTAAGGCATTTTTGGCATCATTAAATGTTTGCAAACTGCCATCACCAAAGACTGACATTTGAAATGCATATTACAGAAAGACAAGGTGTCACTACTGGAAAATAAAGACAGCGGCACCTTAAGAGTGATCCTAGAAGGTGTTCAAAGTTTCAACTCATCTGCTTTACTTTTAGACAAAATTCAGGTAATGTTTGCTGTAAATGTACCTTCTAAGTAATTCTTTGTTCAGTTACTAGTTGAAAACCTGCTACTTGCTCATTAATTTGTTCACATTTAAAAAATAAATTCCATATTCAGGTGCCGTGGCCTTCCAAGTCTGCATTTTAAAGCCTTTGAAGGCCCCTCAAAATGCATGTTCAAATGCATCCTTCTGTTCCCTCGATTTCAAGGAGAGGTCTGGTGTGTTTACTGGCCAACCCTTTCCCAGGATTAGTTGGGATAGGGTTACAAGGATAGAATAGAATAAACTTTATTGAACCCACAGTGGGGAAATTAACTTGTTACAACAGCACAAACACTTCAAATAGTTATTTGACGAAGCATAATAACAAAGGTACATGTACACACATAGGTAAGCTAGCATTGTAACCTTTGACCACTAAAAATCATAAATGAAAAACTTGGATTGCAGAACTATGCAGTATACTGTAAGGGACATAGACATACTATGTAAATCAGGTATTGCACAGGTATTGCACATATACTGAGTATTGCATTGGTGTTATTGTGTAGCAGAATAATGCCAGTACAGCTTAGACTGAGGAGTTCTACACTCTTACTGCAGAGGGGATGAATGACCTACGGTAGCGTTCTGTTTTACATCTGGGATGTCTCAGTCTGCCTCTGAAGGAGCTGTCCACGGTCTCCACAGTGGAATGCAGTGGGTGGGAGTGATAAAATGATTTTAGAAGCAGGGAATTAACTCAGAAGGACCTCAGCCTCCTCAGGAGGTGGAGGTGGCTTTGCCTTTCTTATACAGAGCATCTGTGTTGTTGGACCAGTTCAGTTTGTTATTGAGGTGAACACCCAGGTACTTCAGGGGTGGACCTTTAAAGCGCCCGAGCGCCAATGGCGCAACATTTTTTGGTCGGCCGGTAAATAATTGACGACTTGCTGCCCGGGTGGCGCCCAAGCCTTGTTTGTCATTTACACACTGGCTTTCACCTACATCATGGCCGCACCCTGTAAGAAGCCGCCGTTTTCGTTTTGTGCACGTGAGCCTGCGCGCCTCTAGTCACATACTGCACATACTGCACTATGTGACTAGATGGCGCCACCACAGGGATAGGATTTGTTGATGAAACCTCTGGCAAAACGCTTTAAAACTTGTGAGGAGAAGCGAGACCGTTCAAAACGGTATGAAGTAGAGAAGCGTGTGTGTGTAGGTGGAATGATTCTTGGCGGTTTAAAGACGACGGAAGGCGCAGAGAATGGCTCGAGTACAGCAAAGCGGAGAAGGTGATGTACTGCGTTGTATGCCGGAAGTATGCAACGACAAAATCGAGTTTTGTTGAGGGAACAAACAAATTCAAACTTGAATACGTTATTATGTTTGTGAATGTGTACAAAATAAAGGTTTATTACATTTAAAACGGTTGAGTTGTTATTTTGACTCGTTTTGGCAGCTGACCTGCGGGGCCAGTAAATTCTTGGCGGGGTCGGTAAATTTCCAGAGTTACTGGCCCGGCTGGCCGGTTGGTTTTGAAGTTAATGTCCACCCCTGTACTTAAAGGCATCGATCACCTAAATGTCTGCTCCCTGGATGTTTACTGGTGAGTGAGGAGGAGTTTTTCTCTGGAAGTCAATCACCATTTTAGTTTTACGGGTGTTCAAGTGAAGGTGGTTAGGCTCACACCAGTCCATGATGACTGACCTGTACTCCTGGTGTCTCATTTATCAAGCTTGCTTACGCACAAAACGGGGTTGGAAAACTGCGTAAGCAACTTTCCACGCAAACTTTGGGATTTATGAAAGAAAACTTAGGGGAAAAATGTGCTCAACTTTAAGTTGACTAAAGCTTGGTTTATGCTTGACGCATTCACTTTCCGCTTGGTGATGCGGCTCGCGGCTGAAACGCGCTTCACAACTCGCAGCATTTATGGTTCATGCGGCTTGTCTTTGTGGTGAGCCAATATTCTCCCAAACTGTAGGGGGCAGCATGGAGCTCTACGGCATGCATCCAACACTACACCATAGTAGAAGTAGAAATTACTGTTTACAACACAGCATTCCAGTATTTTTTAACAGCGTCCTCGTCTTTTCCGACAGTGCGAGCTATTTCTCTCCAAGAATTATTAACAACATGTTGAGCACGGTGATCTTTGAGAGCTGAATCATACAAATGTCTGTATTTACCAACCTCTTGCCGGTCCGCCATGTTTTTCCACGTCCGACCGCCCGCGTGGTTAGAAAATTTCCTAGGTGCGCGTTGCGGAAATTTTGGGCCGTGTGGAGGGGCGGTGGAGGGGCGTGGTTGTTAAAATGACGCAACTTTTCCGTGCGGATCTCGCGGACGCGTCAAGCATAAACCAACCTTAAGGACCTGGCTTACGCACATGTTGGACATGGAAAGCACCTGCAGTGTTGCTGCTGAGAAGATACATTATGAAATCCTGCAGCATTATCACTTGTACCATTTCGTGCACATACAGAACAAGTAATACAGGCTTATGTACATGCATGAGATCCACAAGGCACTTTGTATTGACCATTTATGGCAGTAAGTGGGCGTGGTGAGGGCGGGATGTGACTAAAATGCAGCTGAGAAACATTCTCGTTAGTCTCTGATTTATGAAGCGGACATTGTGTGCAGCTGTGTGTACTCCATGTTTGATAGATCACAAACCTACTTGGTGTAAGTACTTTTTTTTTTTTTTTGCTGAGCTCAAGTACGATTTTAGAAAGGATTCTATGCCATGTTTGATAAATGAGATCCCTGGTCATTCCCTTCAGGTACACAGCCAACAATGGCCGAGTCATTTTAGAACTTCTCAAGGTGACAGCTGCTGGTGTTGTGGGGGAAATCTGAGGTGTAGAAGATGAAGAGAAAGGGAGAGAGCACCATACCCTGTGGAGCTCCAGTACTGTACACAACCACCTCAGATGTACAGTTTTGCAGCCTCCTGTACCTCACGTCAGGATGCAGCCCCTGATGCCATTAGACTGTGTTGCAAAAGATGTTTCAATGAGAAATTTTAATATATATAAATGTTTGCCATATATTTGTAAGACTGAGATAAAACCACTCTTGTGTTTGCTGATTAGCAGTGGTAGCCATCTTGGAAGTGTTTTACTACTAAATGTAGTCATAAACGTATGTCCAGTGATTACTTTCTGTCCATTCAGTGTGTCAGATGGTTCTTGAGATATTCTGTTACAAAAACAAAAAAAATAGTCTACGTCAGAATGATCCATATATTCTTGAGACTGCCCCCAGGTGGTAGAAAAGTGCTGTAACATGCACCCACATGTAGCAGAAGCAGAAGAGTGGTCTAGCATAGCACCACTAAAGACGCAGCAGACAGTTCTGATGAGTGTTGTGTTGGAGCTTTCTGAAGCTCGGTCACATCCTGAGTGTCTGTGCTCCGCCAGATTTGCCGAGGCCCAGGAAACGTCTGACTGAGCTGATGCTGAAGACGGCTCTAGAGATGCCTACAGAGAAGGAGCAGGAGAGACGCAAAAAGGCCTCCCGCATCTGGGGTTTCCGATTCTTCCGGAGTCCCGTGGAAATCCTGGCCGAGCCCGGCTGCAACAGAGTAGCTGGAGTCCGACTGGCAGTCAACAAGCTGGAGGTGAGCAGGACTAAAAACGCGAGGAAGTCTCCAAGTCATCGTGTGTGATTGTAAAAAAAAAACTGCAGCTAAAGACAAAGTTTACATGTGTCCTTTGTGGTTAGGTTAAACACCCATAGCTAATGTTTCATAGAGTCCAACACCTTTAAACGATGATGCTTTTGACTTAACATCTAGGAACAGCACCGTTTGCATCGATTACTGCCAAGTGGACTTCACAGTAAGACATCGGTAGCTTGGTCTAATTTACCCAAGTGGGAGATCCGGCAGTGTCAGGCCTGAAGGGTGGCGTCTCCACAAAGCAGATGATCGTTAGGAGTTGCAGTGGGACTTGAAATAGTCTCTTTAAGGGGACCAACAAATCTGTCCACACAGAGTATACGGTTGCAAATAAAAGTAACATTTTATCTTGTTTGTTTTACTCGGTCACAAAATGAAGGCATGCAGGTATGGACCAGGTCGCTTGAACGAAGCTTCGTTTCTGCTGTCTATGTTTTAGGGTTCAGGAGAAAAAGCCCAGGCTGTGCTGACTGGAGAGGTGGAGGATGTTCCCTGTGGTCTGGTCATTAGCAGCATTGGCTACAGGAGCCTTCCCATCGATCCCACGGTGCCCTTTGACTCCCGCAGAGCCATTGTGCCAAACTCCATGGGACGTGTTCACAATGCTGCAGGTTCTTATTAAACTCGGTGTTGACTGTGAACCCGTCACTGATCAGTCAAATATGATGACTCAGAGTTGTGTTTAGGTTTGTACTGCAGCGGCTGGCTGAAAACCGGCCCTACAGGTGTCATAGCCACCACCATGAATAGCAGCTTTGACACCGCACGATCGTTGCTGGAGGACGTTGAGTCAGGAAAGCTGGATGTGTCTTCTGCCAAGCCTGGGTCACACATGATCAGCTCTCTGCTGGAAAAACGAGGTTCGTGAGTGTCTTTGGTTAGAACGACAGGTCTCAACAAGGTCTTGTGTTATCTTGCATCAAGCTGTACACGGACAGCATTTTACAAACTGGTTTAAGATGGCACACGCAAGAAAAACGGAGAAGGAAAAATGGGTTTTAAAAAAGCGTAGCTCATGCTTTTATTGACCAATTTAAATTTTGGTGAAATAACAGAGCAGGGCCACTATAGCGGCATAACAAGAGGGAAGAGTGAAGTAACCCAAGCTAACCCTAAGAGAAGGCTCGTCTGAAGCCTAAACTGGAAAACATCCGGTGTGATTTTAACTCCAGGAGAGTTGGACTTAACTCTGTTAAGTAAAACTTGCTCTTTAGCCAGGGTTACACTTTCAGTGTCGATCTCATCCATATTCATTTAGATTTAAAATGGGCAGGCTAATTAAATAGGGATACTATGCAGCTTTTTCATAATTTTAAATAATTTTCTTGAACCAGTATGCGCTAAAATGACCTCTTTAACACGACGAACCCGTTACCGGGTCTGAGTGCACTTCCGGTGACA